GGGGGGGCACTCTCAGTACCTCCACCCCTAGAGCCCCCCGACACGTCGGCTCCAGAAACCCTGATTCCCTGATTGTTTGAGAGCCCTTGGGACGTACGGTGTTCGGAATAGCCTCACCTCACGGTGCGGGGCGCAGGTGCAAGGGGAGGTTTCGACGGGGTGGGCTGAGACGGGGGTTGATGGCGTCGTTTCAGCCGATGGCGGCCGGCGGACCAGGGCGTCGTGACGTCAAGTAACGCAGGTAAAAACGCTGAAAAACGAAAATTAATTTTCAACTTTTTAAGCGCTTATAACGCGTTTTCAGCTTCCGTAACGCATTTTCGTGCGGAAAACGCTCCAAGGACGCTGAAAACGCTTTAATATAACGCTTAAAATGTTGAAAATGAATTTTCGTTTTAGAGCGTTACCAGTATGCGTTACATTACGTTACGACGCCCTACCGCCGGCCCCTCACCGCCGCTGCTGCACATCCAGAGCGATACGGTATCTCGCTGAATCGAAAAATAACGGACAGAGGGGTATGAAAGTGTGAATAAGTGACAAATTGATCGCCAAGAAAGCCAGTCCGTTTTCCTCAAATCCATTATTATTCTGCTTGGCATAGCATATGGTGAGCTCGGCCCCTGCGAGACGCGGGGTAGGCCACCCCGCAGAACACGCGTGCATCGAACACAAGATATTGCCTACCTATCAGGCGCTATGAGAGCTCGCATGGCCTGAACTTGGCACTAACACTTTCGTAAACGGCGAATGACGGACGTGTGTTGTACTTTCTAAGGATGATTCCGAAACGGACCTCGCTCGCGGGCGGCGGCGTTTGGCGGACGAAAGTAGTAAGGTTATGTGACGACATCAGCAGCCATCTCGTCGGTGGTGCTTCTCCCTCCGAATGACGACTCGCGTCCCCGTTCGTCGATCAATTTTATTCTTCTCGCTCGCCTAGGGTTGGAAACCCTTGAAAGTTTCTGAAAAATTTCAGGAAAATTTCCGAAAAAAAATTTGAAAGTTTCCGGGAAAAAATGGAAAATTTCACCGACTTTGGAAAGTATTCCGTTATTTTCGAGAAATTTTCAGGAATTTTTCTGAATTTTTTCGGAATATTTCGGAAAGTTTTCGGAAAGCTTCCGGAAAATTTCGGAAATTTCCAACCCTAGTTTTTAGACGTGGCGGAGGGCCTCGAACTCTAACTTCCTCGACGTCACGACTGTGTTTCACCCCCCCCCCCCCCCCATCTTTTTCCTGCTCCCCATCCCTTCCTCTCCCCATGGATAACTGACTGGAATGCAATATTTCGCCCCCAGGTTCGTGGCTGCGGGCTCGAACCGCCGCTCCTTCCAGTTCACGGTGCCGCTCCGGGGCTGCGGTTCCCGCCCCAGCACCGCCGGCTGCACCAAGCCCGGGGCGGGCTGCGGCGGCCGCATAGAGAACGTGCTCGTGATCCAGACGGACGACACCGTCCAGGTGAGGAAGAACAAGTGAACTATAGGGGGTTGGAGTTGGAAACCCCCTGGAAAGTTTCCGGAAATATTCTGAAAATTTCAGGAAAATATTAGGTTAAAAAAAAATGAGACTTCGGAAGTTTTCCGTTTTTTCGCAGACATTTTCGGGATTTTTCCGGAAATTTCCAATCCTGGAGTGAAGGGTGAACACCATAGAAATGATCACACAGTGAAACATTAACAAAAAACACCCTTTTCTTATCCTTTTCTGTTGTATTTCAGGAAATCTGGGACGTGGCGCGTAAGGTCTCGTGCGCCGCCCCGGACGCCAACGAGAAGACGATCGCCTTCAAGCCGTTCGTCGTGGACATGCTGGAGGTCGTGTCCGTGCCCGTCTCCAGCGGGTCCGTAGACTGCTGGATGGACATCCGCAGGGGCACCTTCCCCAATGTAAGTATATGGATTTTTTTTTAAACGTAGGGCCCCGTGCGTTAACATTGTGCACGGGGTAGCTGAGCGAAGTGCATTAACTTTACAGAAGACATAA